GACCTGATGGAAGTGAATGAAGACAAACAGCATCAGTTTAAAAAACCTCATTATTTCACAAATGAAGATGGAAATGCAGTCGTTTCAAAGACTGAAGAGAATTTCCCACAGAAACAAGCTGGGAAATATGGAGTCGAAGGATTTTTAACCTGTTCTGAGTGTGGAAAGAGTTTCCTATATAAATCAACTCTGAACAGACACATGATTATTCACACTGAAGAAAGGCCTTTTACATGCACTCAGTGTGGAAAGGGATTCATTAACAAAGGAAACTTAAATGACCATATGAGAATTCACACTGGAGAAAAACCGTTCACATGCTCTCAGTGTGGAAAGAGTTTCACTCAGAAAGGCTCTCTCAATAATCATCTTCGCCGTCACTCTGGAGTGAAGCCATTCAGATGTGATCAGTGTGATAAAACATATGTTTTTGAATCAGGCTTAAGAGAACACCTTAATGTTCATTCTGCTGTGAAGCCTCACGTTTGTTCTGTATGTGGAAAGAGTTTTTCACATCTTGGATCTTTAAAAGAGCATGAGCGTATTCATACTGGTGTGAAACCTTATATGTGCTTTGACTGTGGGAAGACCTACACTTCATCCAGCAACTTAAAATCACACCAGAGAGTTCATACTAGAGAGAAACCGTACAAGTGTTCACACTGTGGAAAGAGTTTCTCTCGGTCAGGAAACCTGAAAGATCATGAGAGAGTTCATTCTGGAGAGAAACCGCACCAGTGCTCTTCATGTGAGAAGAGTTTCAGTCATTTATCTACTCTACTGAAACATGAGAAAAATCATTGCCTGAAGGTGTCAAAGTGAGCAAAGTTCACTTCCATAACTTGTAAGTAAGCAAAAGATGGAATTACATTTAATACAGTAATTTAATCTAAAATTAGTATTGAAGTTTGATTGTTTGACAAGGGGAACCGGTTTAAATGGTTGTGAATTGCTTTCTAAGTGTTGCATGTTTTGATCTCATGAAAGTGCGTATCTATACAACGAATGTTATTTCTCGTGCCATTTATACACCAAAAATAGTTTTTGCGTCTATATGATACGCACTTTATGGCGTGTAATACGCATGCACCCCCCTCCCCCCTAAACCTACCCAAGGGGTTTTCAGTGCGTAGCATATGCACGCAAAAAAACATTTTTGCCGTATAAATGGCACGAGAAATGACATTCGTGGTATAGATACACACTGTCACGAGACTGTGTTGCAGACACCCGTATTGATCCTCTGTTGTGTTGCACATGCGCAGTAAACACTGAGTGTTACTGTATACAAGATGAACTGAACAGTAAAGCAACAATGTGAAAATACTCGTGTCAGTGTCATCGCTCAAGCAGTGCATGGTCATCTCATACAGATGGAACAAGAATAGTTCAGAAAACTAGTGTCGCCATAAAGACTGATTTATGAAGGGATGTGTTTTGTTTCTTTTTGGTTTCATTATTTTCATTGTACATGTGAGGCATTTGTGAAACAATGGCAACAATAGTCTATCAAATATCATTCATATCACAAACAACTTGTTTTTAGTCTCGCTGTTTAGAGGTGATGCATTGAGAACATTTTGAAGACTTTATTGGATTGAATCACTCTCTGCATATTGTTAAAATGTAAGAAATAAAAATGAACAGAACTAGTGTTTTATTTAGGTATAATGAATAGATTTAATGAAGTTTTCGTTAAATCAAGGGGTTTAACATTGTATAGCATTGCATTGCTAATAAACCAGTAGTAGTAACAACTCAGACAACCTGGTCTCACAGAATTCCGTGAAATGAACACGGACCCTTAACTCAAAATCTGTGGCAGTTTCACGGAATCGCCGAAAATTCCGTGATGGGCCCACGGAAATGATGCCTATGCAAGTCAATGACAGGCAGCATCCGTGGTCCACACACGGATTCCCTGTTCGGACCTGCGCTCCCCCAATTGACGTCGTTTTATAATTTGGAAACGTATCGCTTCATTCTGGGTTTACTTTAAAAAGTACTTCACTTTAAATATTTTTAAAGTGATTTTAACTTGATATTGCATTGTTCTGTCGTCGTTTGATCGCTATGATAACTTCTGGCAGTGGTCTGTTCCGTGACGGTACCACGTAATGTTCCGTCTCACTGCAGTTCGTGATATGGTCACGTAATTTAATAGATTGATTCTTGACACGGACACGCTAATTTAGTTATTTTCGTGATATCAGCACGTTTTTTAAACTAATGTTTTTCAATAGGAAGCATCTTTCGTGATCACAGCACGATTCTTTCTGCCTGTCGGGCTGCAGCAGAGAAACTGTTTAATCAACATTTATTCACGAGATTTTATCATGGTTTATTTATTTTAATATTATTTCGGTCTTATTGCCAGGGAAGCTGGATTGCTATGCTGTTTATTGTATTAAATGATATTTTATTAGTAGGAAATCGCGCTGAAGAAGTCTCGTCCCGAACACATCGCGATATTTGGCACCAGTTCACGACACGTGTGCCAGATGTTGGTAAGTAGTCGTAAATATGCTGTCTGTCATTAATAATGTTTGATATAATGTATTTTCTGTTTGTCGATATTAATCAGATTAGCTCACGTTCAGTCACTGCATTATATCAGTCATCTTTCCACGGAGGCTTTGCGTTTCATTGCTGTCTAATTCAAAACAGGGTGATTTAAACACTGTCTGTCACGTGACGTGCTATAGGCCTCCTAGACCTTCAATAAATTAATCATATTTATATCAGGTTTAAGTAGTACAATAGGCTTTATGCCGAGCGTCACGTGACCAAACCGGAAAACAGGTCTCATTGCATCCGCTTGTCAGAGAAAGTGGCCGTTTCTCAATACCAAGTACGCAAACTTCGGACTTGCGTCCTTGGTAGTTCGGACTTGCCAAGTTCGACTCAGGAGAACGAACTCCCGAGGACGAGAGGACGCGAGTCCGGTTATTCTGCAAATGGAACAGTGCGTTCTTGATCGCGTCACTCAGCACGCTCTGGCTACTCCGGTTATCTTTATGTATATTTTAGGCAAGAATAAAACGAAATGCTACAACTCTGCCTCTTTTCGTCAACAATAAAACGAAATATGTTATAAAACACCACCCTGCCTCTTTTCATTTAAATATCTTAGTAGCCTAATGACCATGTGGTTCAGGCAATGCGTATTATCTTCACTGCATATATTTATAACAACATGAACATGATCTTTTTGTTTTCATTTAAAAAATATGAAACATTATTTATTTTTATTGACATTTAACAAACAGAGACAGGGTTGTGTCATTTTATTTTATTGTACATATAGTGAAGAGAATGTTGAAATAAATATAAAAAATGTATATATTTTAAAGTATATAAAATAAAATTACACAACCCTGTCTCTTTTTGTTAAATGTCAGTTTTAATGATCAATAATATCTACAATGATAAATAAGGCAAACAATTCAAACATAAGTAAGCTCTCTAATAGGCTACAAAGTTAAATAGCCTAAATATATAAAGTTATGAAACTTCACTTTGCCCTCAGCCAAAACGATTTTTTGCCATGGAACAAACAATTGTTTAATGAGACCAAAGATCGACTTATACACAAGACGAATTATACGTCAAGTTTATCCACTAGACTAGAGACATCAGAGCCAGCGGCAAACGTCAAGCACTAGCCGAGGAAAAGCTGTTCCAGTCGGGGTTGATGAGCGTTGAACACCCGCGGAGAACGCCTGGAGTTCACAACTCTGAAAACGTCAGAGATATTTTTCAAATAGGCGCTATCTTTATAAATAAACCACAGATTTGAGCTTTAAACAACCACATTCTCGTCTGAAACACTCTTAAAATTACATTTCATGACACAATAACAGTAGTATTTTGATATTACGTGGGTTTTCTCCTCTGCTATTGATGCTTGCTGGTTGGTGCGAGATGCATTCTGGGATACCTGGCTGTCTCAAGTCCGCACAAGTCACCTCTCGATGCATCCTCGGTAAACGGGGCGGATCAACAATACATCCGGGGATTTGAACTGGACTTGGCTAGATGTGAACTTTGAATTGGAACAGTACTTGGGCAGTGACTGATGACGTTTCACAAGTCCACAAGAACACAAGTACAGACAAGAACGCATATTGAGAAACGGCCAGTGTTAACGGCCGTAAGAACTAACTACGATATCTATGGATTTTTAAGGTAATCAGCTAACCTACTAAGTTCACTTTGTTATTGGTGTTTTATGCTGTTTAAATATCTAAACGTTAGTGTGAAGAAGAAAAATTAAAAAACTTTTAAATATCAATCTGCACATGCGAGGGACATTGGGTGTGCTCATTTTTGCGTGCTCCTTTTAAGTTATCTTGAGTAAAACCGCAAAAAATTTCATGAACCACATACAAAAGACCTGAATCGGAAGCGATGTGACCTGTTTTCCGGCTTGGTCACGTGACGCTCGGCATAAAGCCTATTAGTTCCAAATTTGTATTTGTAGAAGAAGCACAGTAAAAACAACACTTATATAGGGCTGGGCGATTTTGCCCAAAAAATAAATCTTCGATTTTTAAAGAAAAATTCGAGTTCCGATTCGATTTTCGATTTTTTTTTTCAATGCACTTAAAAAATGACTGCAGACATCAGATATAGTGTCAAAAGTGCAACTTTATTGCTATGATTGTCCTCAAGAGTTACAATGCGTAGAATCCCAAAACAAAAAGTAAATGAGGCTCTGTCATTCAACAATTTCAAGCTTTAACCCAGGTTTAAGCAAAAGTGCAACAACTTCACAGTAGCTTAAATTTTCTGTTCAAGAAATCAGATAATTACAAATTTTGTAACATATAACATTGCAATTAAAAAAATAATCTCTTCTCAGTATAGAGTGAATATAAAAAATGAAACATGCCTGTGGCAGACATATAGCTTGCTCAAAGAGTGAACAAATGTAAACTTTTATCTATAACAACAAAACACATGCTTGTTAGATCTCTGAAACATTGTGCATGCTCATTCTAAACATTTTTTGCAAGAAAGATGAGCCTGTCCACAACCTCTGGCTTAAGGCAGGCCCGGTTGCAGGTAACTATTCCCCCACCCACACTAAATACCCTCTCTGAGGGGGCACTAGTGGCTGGAATAGAAAGATATTTTTTAGCCAGTAAGCTTAGCCTTGGAAAGTTGGGCTGATGCAGCTTCCACCATTCAAGAGGATCTGTGTCTGGCTCTATGTCTGGAATAAGGAAATATGTTGCAAGCTCAGTCTCAATTTTTGTTTTCTCAGATTGTGGGTGTGGCGTGGTGGATGGTGCACTGTTTTTAAAGAAGGCACCCAGAGTCATTTTCTTTTTTGGTGGGGTGTTCTCTTGAACAGCTGAGGGACCAGCTTCCTCTGTGGTAGAGCTGCAGAGAGCAGAGATCTCAGACACTGCTCTTTTTTTGACAACTTCCAGTTTGCTAGCATCAATGTAGGTTGTACGGAACCTCGGGTCTAAAAGTGTGGCCATGTCCAAAAGTTCCTCTTTCTCCAAATCACTGTATTTACTTTCGAGGTAACGCATGATGTTCGCTTTGATTGTTTTTGTTAGCTCCAAATCTTCCTCGTCTGGCAGGAGGAGACTTGTTTTAAACAAATGCAGCACTGGTTTGATGCATGACACACTGACATATGATTCCCCTGACAGTGCATCAGTGAAGTCCTGGAGAGGTTTCACTGCTTTGTTGGTGGCTTCTAATACTTCCAAATCTTGCCACGTGGGAACAAGATGACGCGTTTTCTTGTCCGCACCCAGGACACGAGTTATTGCCTTCTCTTGCTCAAGGAAGCGCTCAATCATCTTTTGACGAGACCCCCAACGTGTTGGGGATTCTGAGATCAAAAGATGCTGGGGAAGTCCGAGCTCAGCCTGCACCTCTGTCATGTCTCGCCTTTTTTTCCAGCTGTAGGAGAAGGCTGATACAGCTTTTTTGCAGACCCCTATGGCCCGATCGATCCTTGGGTCCTTCACACCATTCTCTGTAATAAATGTGAAAAGATATTTAGTATATTTTTTGTCACTCCAAACTATTGTTTTGTACTTTTATCCCAATTTTAATAGCTGTAACACTGTTTAATACATAATGTATAATGAATGCAGATTAAGGAAAAGTCAGGTTTATTTATGTAAATAAACTAAAATAAACTGTAAATATGAATTTATGTCTGTGTGTAAACCAGTTGAAATACCATGTTCTGGCTATTAAATTATGAGCAAACAGTACTTTACAATGTGCAAGTATGTGCACCTATTTATTCTTACACCAACTCTTACCTATAGCGTTGTGGAGTCTGTGGCCAAAACACTGCAAGCTGGGCCAGTTGTTGTCCTTAAGGGCTTTTATGATGTTGGTGCCACTATCAGTTGTCATGCAGACGAGTCGTTCCTCCGAAAGTCCCCAGGAGCTGAGAGCGTCTTTTAAGCCATGGGCAATTATCTCACCAGTGTGGTTGTCGGGGAAATACGCTGTCTGAAGGCAGATGCTGCGCAGAGTCCAACTAATGTTGATGTAGTGAACCGTCAGACTCAGATATGGCTGCATCGTCCGGCTGGACCACAGGTCCGTTGTGGCTGAGTAAAACTGCATCTCCTCCAGCTCACTGCTGATCTTTTCCCGAGTTGTATTGTACAGGTGAGGCAGCGCTACATTGGCGAAATACTTGCGACTGGGGACAACGTACCTCGCATCTAATACTTTTAGCATGTGATTAAAGCCTCGCTTTTCGACAGAATAAATTGGCAGCATGTCTGTGGCAATATAAAACGTGATCGCCTCTGTAATCGCTTTCCATCGCGCTCCGTTCTTATCATAAGGCACACAGTTTGTAAAGCTCTCAGGAAGTGTAGTTTGCTTTTTAGCAGGTGTGCTAGAGGAGCCGTTTTCGCTACGGAGCCGGCTGCACTTCTCCCATTCTTCGCGATGTTTATTCCTCAGGTGCTGGAAAAGATTTGTTGTACTGCTGCTTCCAGTAGCAACAGCCTTGAAACATATTTTGCAGCAAGGCTTCGTCTGTGTTGTGTCTGCTGCATCAAAACCAAACCAGTTCCAAATTACGGAATTACCTGTGCCTTTCTTTGGAAGTAACGTTAGTTCTCTGCTACACGCTGCCATGTTGTTTTGACTGTGTAACGCGGGGCGGGGGCTGGCTCATATCGCGCTACGGTAACGCACAAGGACGAAACGCGGAAAAGTCCGAAAAAACTATTGTGGAAAAAAACTCGAGTTTGCAAAATAAAAATCGTTTTAAACTACAAAATCGATAAATCGATTAAATCGATTTTTTGCCCAGCCCTACACTTATACCATGCTTTTACCACAGTATAACGTTAGTTTTACTGTGATATGTGTGGTAAAAGGACTGTAACCACAAAACTTACCATGCTTTTACCACAGTAATGTTAGTTTTACTGTGATATGTGTGGTAAAAGGACTGTAACCACAAAACTTACCATGCTTTTACCACAGACTTAGGTAAAGTTGGTTTTATATTCGCATATTCGCACATTCGCGGACTTCCGCGTTCAATAACTCGTGAACTAAACGTTGTTGCTACACACAACGCATATCACAGATAACTACAGATAAAACACTAGAAGCTACAACATAAATTTCCTCAAAACGATCTTTCCTTCGCACTGGACAAAATACATTGATCTCTATGAGCAGGCTGCTAAGAAGGGACCATCTGCAAAGTGCAAACCCGAAGGAAAACTCGTTTTGATGAGATTAAAATATTAAAACAATGTTATTTGTGTAGTAACAATATTCAGCTTACGAGATATTGAACGCGGAACTCCGCAAATATGCGAAGCGAATATAAAAAGCAACTGTACCCAAGTTGCAGACTTGATCATGTAGGACCTTCAGGACCACATAGTACGTGGACGGCACCATGAACATAGTCAAGTTTTTTTTTTTAAAATCAACCAGGGTGAAAATAGTTTCAGGTTTGATATTTGCTGAGTATTCACCTAGATCACGACTGCTTTAGTGTACCTTTGTGTAGGCTATTGTACATACAGTACGCAAAAATGTTTTAAAACTTACAGTAATTCTTCACCAAAGAGATTTTTTCATATTCCAAAGGTTGTAGTATGTTCCTACTGACCAGACTGACTTACTGCTGCTACAGGTGGAATTTTGACAGTACCTCCCTTACTGTATGTACTGAAGGGTTGGGGTCAGAATCCCCTGTCTCTTCAATTTAATTATATATCCTTTTATATCCTTTTGAATGATTACTTTATTCTTATTAAAAAATCAACAATCAAGTATGTATCCTAATCAATTCTTTATTCATTTTCTTTTAGGTGCATTCCAGTGTGTGCCCTTGGGTTGTGTTCACATGCAAGCCTTTTGATGATAGTTGTCTTGGGATTCAGAGAGCGGCGAGAGAGAGAGAGAGACATGCATACATTCAGTCTTTTACAGCCAATTGGTCAAACACAAAATCTTGAACTGTCATTATTTCTAGAAGAGCCCTTAGGACTTTTCCATATAAAAGTCTTTGTCCCTTTGTCCTCTTTTTCTGGACCTTTCCATCATCGCTGTATCTTCTGTATCTCGTCCGCAACACAGACGGTATGGCATTTTTCTCCTTTCTTTTGCAAAGCTCTTTCTAATAAATTTTCAATTCCTCTCTACTCTGCCACCATCATCTGCTTAATAAATGCTTGCAACATTCAGTGTGGTATGTTTTTCTTTATAAACCATTTTCATAATAAAAATATTTATAAAACAAGTTACAGTGTTTTCCTTAATAAACCAGCTTCATAATAAAAATCTTTATAAAAACAAGTTGTTTTTCTTAATAAACTATTTTCTGGTTACAATGATTATTAATACAAGTGTTTTACAGTAAACACTTTCTTAATAAATTGTTTAACAACTACTTATGATACCTTTCATTATAAAAGCACTTTTTATTGGTTGCAATTGTGGCTTACTATAACCCATAAATACTTCATATACCAAAAGCCATGATTAGAATAGAATAATTGCATATTTCATAACAATATCCACATATCTTGTCTTAGTTGACTTGTATAAGTTTGAAGGTCAATTTATACATAATTTCACCTTATTTTCATTAAGTGAACATCTCATGTGTATTTCTTTAGCGAGTGGAGTAAAGGGTTATAATATTATCGTTCCTGCTTTCCTGGAGTGAAATGTTTTATCAGCCTGTTAAGGTGGACTGCTGTTCTGATAATGAGCTCAGGCCTTCTTCAGCCTCGAAGAGAACTGTTGTTTGTCAGTGTTCTGTGTGTGTGTGTGCGTTTGATATTCTTTGGAGGTCTGAACTAGAGGCCTGCATTTCAGCCCGAGCCCGACGGGCCCCGACTTATTTATGCTCCTAGGGCCGGGCTTCGGGCCAATTTTCACGTCATAGTTCACACGCGGGCCGGGCCTCGGGCCTGTTTTAGGCTTATCTTTTTTATAGCCTATTTTAGACATTAATTAAAATAAAACATGAGAAGATGACGATTGAAAATAGAACCGGCTCGTTCTAGTGTCCCGCTATGGTAGCGAGCGTGACTTCAGCGCAGCTGGAAAAAGTACGACTGGATTAAAACCTTCCACTGTGGATGCTGTGCTTTTTCTTCACGATGCTCTGAGACTGTTCTTAGCCATGTTAGGAGGAGGTTGTTTTTTGTTTGATTGGACTTTATTTTCATGAGTCTGTTGGAAACTATTGGAAATGGCCATGTTCTGTAGAAGACTTGATTTTTGAGGTAAGATAACCTGCATGTTTGTTTTAATGTAATTTATTTGATTTGTTTAGATTGCATTCTCTGTATTGTAGCCTATATTATAAATTCATTTAGTTTGCGAGCGCTGTTGCGACTGAGCAGCAGAGCAGTTGGCCTCAGCTTTTCAAAAATGACAATAAACGTTTAAACTAACGTTAACTGTCTGTGTGATATGCTTAAGTTGTTTTATATCTATGGATTTTATTGTAGCCAAGTAAAGTGTTGATTTGAGAGGCTATAAATCAATCAATGGATCAAACATGTTTAACTCGCTGTCGGCTGCTTGGTCGTCATAATTTTTTTTGTTGTTTTTTCTTAATTAACTTTATAAAGAAATGAAAATAAACTTACCGGTAAATACTTTGCCATTGAAAACAAAATATATCTGGTTTACTGACTGCAACATAGGTCAGGCTGTTTATCTTTCTTTTTTTTTCTTTTTTTTTTACGGGCTCGGGTCGGACTCGGGCTGATCATTCTGATGAGCTGTCGGACACGGGCCGGGCTAGGGCCTGAGCGTCTCGGGGCAGGGCCGGGCTAGGGCCTAGATTTGAGGCCCGTGCAGGGCTCTAGTCTGAACTTTGTGATATACAACATTCTCGTACCCTGGAAGAAGGTCACCACAGACTTGAATCTCGGAAATGGACGACAAATATTCTGATTATTGGCTATATACCCACTTATCTATCAAAAATGTATTATTGTTTAGACTATATGTTGTCTTAGCCAATCAGAAGTAAATGATTATGTAATGCATGTCCTTGTAAAATGTATAATTGTGTGAGATTTTTGTGTAAGGTAGAGTTGGCTTGGGACCTCCTCGTGACTTTGACACTGGCTCTACTAATTTAACTGCAAACTATTCTTCAGTAAAATGTTACTTATTTGATTAAATTTCACGACTCCTGGTCTTCTTTCATCATATCTGATCCTAGGTCTTACAACTGTACCACCCCCCCAACCCACCATCCCCCCCCCCCAAACAGTACAATAATCAAATCATTTTTTCCTGTTCCAAAGGCTGTAGTGCTTTCCTACTAATCAGACTGACTTACTACGGGTGAAATTTGGACAATAACTCCCTTACTGTACGTACAATAAACTAATGAGTTGAAGAAAAAATTACTGTAATTCCCCTAAAGTATTTTTTCTTGTTTCAAAGGCTGTAGTGCTTTCCTAGTTATCAGACTGACTTACTACGGGTGAAATTTTGAAAATAACTCCTTTACTGTACGTACAATAAACTAATAAGTTCAAGAAAAGATTACTGTAATTCCCCTAAAGTATTTTTTCCCGTTCCAAGGGCTGTAGTGCTTTCCCAGTGACCACACTGACTTACTACGGGTGAAATTTTGACAATAACTCCTTTACTGTACGTACAATAAACTAATGAGTTCAAGAAAAAATTACTGTAATTCCCCTAAAGTATTTTGTCCCGTTCCAAGGGCTGTAGTGCTTTCCCAGTGACCACACTGACTTACTACGGGTGAAATTTTGACAATAACTCCTTTACTGTACGTACAATAAACTAATGAGTTCAAGAAAAAAATACTGTAATTCCCCTAAAGTATTTTGTCCCGTTCCAAGGGCTGTAGTGCTTTCCCAGTGACCACACTGACTTACTACAGGTGAAATTTTGACAATAACTCCCTTACTGTACGTACAATAAACTAATAAGTTGAAGAAAAAATTACTGTAATTCCCCTAAAGTATTTTTTATTGTTTCAAAGGCTGTAGTGCTTTCCTAGTTATCACACTGACTTACTACAGGTGCAATTTTGACAATAACTCCCTTACTGTACGTACAATAAACTAATAAGTTGAAGAAAAAATTACTGTAATTCCCCTAAAGTATTTTTTCCTGTTTCAAATGCTGTAGTCCTTTCCTAGTGATCAGACTGACTTACTACAGGTGAAATTTTGACAATAACTCCCTTACTGTACGTACAATAAACTAATAAGTTCAAGAAAAAAATACTGTAATTCCCCTAAAGCATTTTTTCCTGTTTCAAAGGCTGTAGTGCTTTCCCAGTGACCACACTGACTTACTACGGGTGAAATTTGGACAATAACTCCTTTACTGTACGTACAATAAACTAATAAGTTCAAGAAAAAATTACTGTAATTCCCCTAAAGTATTTTTTCCCGTTCCAAGGGCTGTAGTGCTTTCCCAGTGACCACACTGACTTACTACGGGTGAAATTTTGACAATAACTCCTTTACTGTACGTACAATAAACTAATGAGTTCAAGAAAAAATTACTGTAATTCCCCTAAAGTATTTTGTCCCGTTCCAAGGGCTGTAGTGCTTTCCCAGTGACCACACTGACTTACTACGGGTGAAATTTTGACAATAACTCCTTTACTGTACGTACAATAAACTAATGAGTTCAAGAAAAAAATACTGTAATTCCCCTAAAGTATTTTTTCCCGTTCCAAGGGCTGTAGTGCTTTCCCAGTGACCACACTGACTTACTACAGGTGAAATTTTGACAATAACTCCCTTACTGTACGTACAATAAACTAATAAGTTGAAGAAAAAATTACTGTAATTCCCCTAAAGTATTTTTTATTGTTTCAAAGGCTGTAGTGCTTTCCTAGTTATCACACTGACTTACTACAGGTGCAATTTTGACAATAACTCCCTTACTGCACGTACAATAAACTAATAAGTTGAAGAAAAAATTACTGTAATTCCCCTAAAGTATTTTTTCCTGTTTCAAATGCTGTAGTCCTTTCCTAGTGATCAGACTGACTTACTACAGGTGAAATTTTGACAATAACTCCCTTACTGTACGTACAATAAACTAATAAGTTCAAGAAAAAATTACTGTAATTCCCCTAAAGCATTTTTTCCTGTTTCAAAGGCTGTAGTGCTTTCCCAGTGACCACACTGACTTACTACGGGTGAAATTTGGACAATAACTCCTTTACTGTACGTACAATAAACTAATAAGTTCAAGAAAAAATTACTGTAATTCCCCTAAAGTATTTTTTCCCGTTCCAAGGGCTGTAGTGTTTTCCCAGTGACCACACTGACTTACTACGGGTGAAATTTTGACAATAACTCCCTTACTGTACGTACAATAAACTAATAAGTTGAAGAAAAAATTACTGTAATTCCCCTAAAGTATTTTTTATTGTTTCA